TCTCTTTCTCTCTCAAAATAAACTTTAAAAAAAAAAATGTGGAGGGACGGAGAATTTGCTCTCCCTGCCGGAGCCGGGATGCCCATGTCTCCTGGTCTTGGGAATCGGAGCTCTCTCCTGATCCTCGGGCCTTCGGGCTCGGACTGAATCGCAGCACTGGCTTTCCTGTGTCTGCAGGTGGCAGATGGCCCATCAGAGGACTTCCTGGCCTCCGTAATTCCGTGAGCCAATTCCGTGTGTAGCCTTGGGTTCTCTTCTTCTGGGAGCCCTGACTAACACGGCCACCCCGTCTGTGGCATTTGTTATAGCAGCCCGAGCTGACTCAGACAGAGTCCTTCCCGAAGATTCCCGGAGAACGTCAGCGGTGCCAGGGAGGACATCCAGGGAGCGCCACCGGGTCAAGGGCTCACACAGGAGGCCTCGGGAGTCTCACCTGAAGAGGGTCCAAGAGGTGGCCAAGTGAAGGTGTGGAACAGTGTTGCAGGAAGAGGGAACAGTACCTGTACAAGTTAGGAGGTGTGAGAGAACCCTCTGCGTTTCTGGAACACTCCCGAGTCCGCCCGCATCCTTCATCTTTCCTACGTTCTCAATAACCCTGGGGGCAGGCGGCAGCAAAGGGCAGGCGGGAGCGTGTTGGGGGTCAGGGTCTGGCTTCGGGGGTGCGGTTCACGCTTCGCAAGTGTGGACCTGTGTGTGCAGTCACCCGGGGCCCCCAGGCTCGGAAGGACCCCACGTTTGGTTTGAGGCTCTGCTGTCACCACCGGGAGGGAAATTCTTAATCAGTTTGAGCCCAGGGAGGCCACATTTTCATTTTGCACGGGGTCCTGCCAATGACATAGCTTCCTTTCCCCGGGTTCAAATCCCGACCCTGCCATTTACTTGCCCCGTGTCCTTGGGCGAGTGGCCGAAATTCTCAAAGCCCCCAACCCCAGAGGTTTTACTCAGAAGGATATTTAAGACCTAGGTCCGACGACCAAGGGCTTAGGCGGTCTAAGTCGAGTGTAGATTTTGTATTCGGGGTGTCGAGTGTTGGAGGAAGCAACGTTAAGTGTTCAATCGTGTATTAATGAGGGAGTAAATAAATGTATGCGTGCACACGAATGACTGAGAAGCGAGCTGAGCGCGGGACACCCGCCCTTAGGGCCACACGCGTACCCCACCCCCCACCCCCCGCGCGTCCCTTACCGTCCTAGGCGCCGCCAGCCTTCCCGCCTCTCCCGAGCGCCCCCTGCCGGCCAGCGGCTCCGCCACGCCACAGCCAGATCACACCGGGCCGTTTGGCCGGCTTAGCCCTCGTTCTCGCTCCCCATTGGCTCCGAGTCGCTCGCGATGCCTCTCGGGCAATGTAGTCTCTCGGCCCGCGCCCGCGTTTCCTGTGGGCCGCAGCGCGGAGAGAGCCACAGGAAGTACGTAGTGAAACTTGCCCGGGTTCCCAGAAGTCATGGTGATAGCGTTGCGCGACGGGAATTGTAGTCCACGCCCGGCCAGGTTCCGCCCCCACCCTCTGCGCTCGGAACCACAATCCCCACCATGCACCGTGCTCCCAGGTCCCCTCTGCTGGCCCGCGTCCTTCTAGGAGCGGTAGTCTTGACCCTCTACGTCCCTCGTCTGTCTTGAGGGGGAGGCCGGCTCCCAGGACTACATTTCCCTGCGCGCCCCCCTGATCCCGCGGTGCGCCAGGACGCGGCAGCCATTTTGTTCCGCCGGCGAAGCCCCTAAGATGGCGGCGGGGGAGACGGTGAAGGTTGCCGCCCGCCCCTCCGGGCGTTAGCCCGCGCCCTCCGCGTCCCCCGGCGGCCGGCCCATGGCCTGGCGGAAGCCCGCGCCATGGACCTCCGCACCGCCGTGTACAACGCCGCCCGCGACGGCAAGCTGCAGCTGCTTCAGAAGCTGCTCAGCGGCCGGAGCCGGGAGGAGCTGGACGAGCTGACGGGTGAGGTGGCCGGCGGGGGGACGCCGCTGCTCATCGCCGCCCGCTACGGCCACCTGGACGTGGTCGAGTACCTGGTGGACCGGTGCGGCGCGAGCGTGGAGGCGGGCGGCTCGGTGCACTTCGACGGCGAGACCATCGAGGGCGCGCCGCCGCTGTGGGCCGCCTCGGCCGCCGGCCACCTGGACGTGGTGCGCAGCCTGCTGCGCCGCGGGGCGTCGGTGAACCGCACGACGCGCACCAACTCGACGCCGCTGCGCGCCGCCTGCTTCGACGGGCACCTGGAGGTGGTGCGCTACCTGGTGGGCGAGCACCAGGCCGACCTGGAGGTGGCCAACCGGCACGGCCACACGTGCCTCATGATCTCCTGTTACAAGGGCCACCGCGAGATCGCCCGCTACCTGCTGGAGCAGGGCGCCCAAGTGAACCGGCGCAGCGCCAAGGGCAACACGGCCCTGCACGACTGCGCCGAGTCCGGCAGCCTGGAGATCCTGCAGCTGCTGCTCGGCTGCCACGCCCGCATGGAGCGCGACGGCTACGGCATGACCCCGCTGCTGGCGGCCAGCGTCACGGGCCACACCAACATCGTGGAGTACCTCATCCAGGAGCAGCCTGCGGGGGAGGGGGGCCCCTCCGCCGGCCCGGGATGTGTGCCGCCCCCGGGGCCCCGCGGCCGCAGCTCCTCCCCGGAGGACGCGCTCGGTGACGCGTACGAGAGCTGCTGCCCCACGAGCCGGGAGGCCGCCGTGGAAGCCCTCGAGTTGCTGGGAGCCACCTACGTGGATAAGAAGCGGGACCTGCTCGGGGCCCTGAAACACTGGAGACGGGCCATGGAGCTGCGTCACCAGGGCGG